GGGGGTTGGGGGGGGGGGGGGATTGAATTATCAGCTTTTAATGCTGAGGTAAGAAACCGAACAGTGGCAAGAGGGTCTCAAACCGTCGTCACGAGATGGCTCTGAAGATTCTACACAGCAAATGGCAGAGTGTCATAAAAACAGGGTCGATACAAGTATTGACAGTAATAGTATACCGGAAATAACAATGATGGAGCAACAGATGACAAAGTTCAAGTATTCCTGCGTTAATGTTCTTATTAATACACTAGTCGATCTTCGACGGACGAACAATATATTAATACACTTATTAATCTAGCTCAATATTAAAAGTATAATAACATTCAATGTTGTCAGTATCCCTAGCTTTGGTACCGTTTTCCTTTGTATGCCAGTTTTCATTGATGTGAATTGTATTATTCATTCCACGAGCCAAATCTAAGAACAGATGAGTCTGTCCAAACCATAACGGTGTGCAACATATGGCTCTGTCGACCCGTCGCACGCTTCCCCTTTGCCTCCCCCCCCCCTTCCTCTCCAAACCTCTTTCTTTGATTCCAACCAGTAAGTTCCGCAAAAGTTTTCCTTAACACATTGGACAGCGCTGAACTAAAAAAAAATTGTCCGTAGTACTTCCCAAAATCTTCGTTCCAAAAGCCCGTCCTGTCTCTCGTTGCAGAAGTGTTGTTGTTTTTTTTTTGTCTCTCGTTGCAGAAGTGTTTTTTGTCTCTCGTTGCAGAAGTGTTTGGTTGCCGGATTTTTCGCTGTGGCTGGGAGGTCGCCCTATGAACAAAAACGATACTGAAAAGATGGTTGAAGAAATTTCCATCTAAGTATTTAAATTTTTTTTTAATATAATATAGATTTTAATGCAGTGCATATTTGCTATGCTAATTTTTTAATGATGTAATTTAAATGTGTGGTGTTCGTTCCTCCAATAGAGATTCAGTTGCCTATTTGTTTCGCTTTTTTGTTTCTTTTTGGTTTTTTTTAAATTTCTCCAAAATTTTATCATGAGGACGTTCTCACTCAAAGGTTTAGGTTTGGGCTATTGGGGGCGGCGAGGGGGAGGGGGTGTCCCCCCCCCCCCAGCTAAATGACATTGACCTCCGGACTCACATGGGCAACACATTCACATGTAAATAAAGTTGAACTATTTACTGATCGCTTTTGACACACGCTATCTAGAAGTAGCAGCGAATTCATGGCAACTTTGGCTCTTCTGAAAGAGGAAATGTGAATTTCAATGAATATTGTCAAGTTAGTTCAATTAAAATCAAATATACTGAAGCTTACGAAACATTCTTTTTTTTTTTTTTTTTGACTCAAATTTATTATCATTACTGGTACTACAGCTCACTGAGGGCTCGGGCATGCTTCACAACATGATCCCACTCAGACAGATCCTTTGCACTTCGACTCCACGCGTGGACGCTTAACGCAAACAAATAACAGTGCGCTAAGAAAAAAAAAAAATTAAAAAGTTGGAAGTTTTTGGAAATCTCAGTTGAGAGGTCATCTTGACAGTGGCGTAGTTTGGGCAAGTGCCATCAGGGAAGGGCCCAGATTTTTTTTACCACCACGGCCCCCCTTCAAA